TGGATTAGTTTTTCTGCATCTGTAATTTATGTTGGCTACTGATAGTTAAAACATGCAGCTCCCTCATTTAATACAGTCTGTGGGCTTTTCTTTGTTGTGTTTTTCCTCACACCACTTTAGATGTTGAAAAATGACTCCATACACTAAGAACATATGACAAGTTAATATCACACCCGTTCACCCGTTCTTCTTCGTCTTTCAGTTCCTGTCCTCAGAGACCGATCAGGAGAAAACAGACGTGAGTGAAGCCACTGATCTCTGTATCTGTACTGTGTGCTACAACTCTCTAGGCCTCAGTATCATTCAGAACGTTTGATTCAGTAACTTCATGAACTTGAGGTGCAAAACTATTCAAAACTTTTTACCTTCTTCTTAAAATGTGGTAATTAATGACCAGTGAGAACTCAGCAGATCCAACTCTGAGCTGCTCTCCACAATAAATATTAACACATAATATTGTAATTATGAGATATCTATATCTAATGTTCCAGATCAGATATTAATGTTGATTAGATATCTTTTAGATCAACAGTGATGTTTAAAGACGGATAAAGAGAAATCTGTGTTAGGTCCCGATATTGATGATGTTACTGATCTCTACGTCTGTAGAGTACGCAGCATCTCGAACTCGACTGAACACTGTGTTGGCTCACTATGATACAGGACAACGCTTGCATCTATATTTCCCAGTTCTTCTTTTGTTGTAGTGCACACGTTGTAGATGTAGAGATCAGTGAATATCAATGCTCACCACAGATTTCTCCTTATCTGTCTGTATGTAAATTATGTATCTTATCTTTGGAACTGCTCACTATATGGTTTATTCCACTTGGCACCAAACAGCACCATGTTATTGCCACAACAGCCTACAGGTGTAATGCTAATGTGAGTACAGGGGCTATCTGTCATTAATTAAGGCTGGACTAAACTGAACCTGTCAGGTCTCATCCGATTTCAGCTTTTGTAAAGCTTTAGTGTTCACAGGATTTGGTTAGCAGTTATTATACATTGTGTATGTTACTGTATATTACATACTTTAGTTTAACAGGTAGACCTATTAGCAAAGAAATCCTGCAGCAAAGAATTAAAATCAGTTCATCTCATATATATATATCATATATCTTACTCACACCATTCTGCACATTTACAAAAAAGAATAGTTCTAGTGCTGTAACTGTTGCTCATAAGCTGTTCTTCATTCTGTCCACAGTTGCAGTATCAAGGCCTTTCATCACAATCGCTGATGTCACACAGTTCGGGGTGCTGCTCAGGTGTGACGTACAAGATGTTAAGTTACTGCCAAAGCTCCAATGGAAGGACAGTGCTGGAAACATCCTTCCTGCTGAGGAGCCACAGGTCTCAGACAGAGGAGGAAGCTACGACGTCACCCTCCAAACTACTGTGAGCAAGACCAAAACCAACCGCTTCCACTGCGTAGTCACACAGGAGGAGATCGGCCACGTGACTGACCGTAACATCACTGTGTCAGGTGAGTTTTCTCTCGTAGTGTTTTTAGTCTGCAAATACTTTCAGATGTTCAAGTATTTCAGGTCCACCACCTTCTTTTGTGTAGGCTATAACCTTTGTGCTATACATGATGTACGATTACATTCACACCGGGGTTTTGTGTTTCAGAGAAACTGTTTGAAGACAAATGCAGCACAGTGGACATCACAGGATGGTTAGGTGGATTCTTTTTGGGAGTTTCAACTCTTGCTGCAGGTCAAGTTTTGCTTGTAGCTGTAAAGAAACGCTGCAACAAAGGTTAGTTTATATATAATGGATTTTATCAACATATCAATAATATTCAGAAATCCACTGAGACTTCATTTAGAGACCTCTGATTGTCATTATGTAAGTTTATTATAGCAAGTTGTGTAGTGGTAGTGTTAAAGTGATAGAGTGAATTCACATTCACATTGTTGTGTACAACAATGTGACAACATTACATCACATTGATTTAGGTGATGATATTATCTAGTGATGCCCCGGTGTATTGGCAAATATTTGCCTTGTTGATTGACGTCAGCAAATTAGACAGCGTTCACTGATATCAGTGGCCAATGTTTATCTGTCACATTCATTTAGCAGGAGTTGGTCCCACGATAGTTGTGTAAGGCTTTAGTAAACCAAGGAATATTTTGTTACTACCTATTCTTCAACCAATCGATTGGTCAATGAGGGAGGGAAATCTACCACAGTGCACTGAGTAGCTGCTGGGTGCTAATCAAAGCTTCAGCCATTTCTTTTTCACATGTGTTACCTTCAGGACATATCGAGTATGTTTACAGCAGCGACACACACATGCACACATACCAGCGAGGATCACGCAGCAAAGTGAGTTTTCGTGCAGCAACAAAGCTAACGCAGTGTGAAGCGATGCAGCAGGTCAGATCTGTATATTTCGCTGCATCTTAAAAAAAGAATTGCGACGCATGTTGCAATGTTTGGAGGCATTTTTAGGCAGAAAGTGAATATTACAAAAGTAGTTGGAATTTCTTTTGTATAATAGGTCATCCATTAATTCCTGATGATGGACACCTCGTAGGGCATTAACCAGTTATGTCACACCCTCATTAGAACGCCCCAACGGGCAAAACAGGGCTTTCTTCTGCTGCCCATAGATAACTTAGCAGCAGTGATTTTGGACACAGACCTAGTTTATAAATGCTCTACAACTTTTTTCACAGAGTACATTAATTCATTATTTGTTTTATTCATTTGCACAGACAGTTGTGTCGGCTCTCTACCGCTGTCTCTCCTCTGTGAGTTTCTCTGCTCAGACTGGAGGGGCAGACAGGGAGAGAGGGTTCATTCATTCCCACTGCTCGGCTTTAGCAGGTCCTTTAATTCCACTGCTAATGCTGTTAAACTGACTTTCCTTTGTTGATCTCCCAGAGCTAGACTTCAGTCTCTGAGCTGGTAAAGTTATTATTTTTACTCTTCCATATTATTTTCAGTAATTAACTTCCTCACACAGCCTCCTCCATTATGCACAGGTGGAGTTCATCATTTTTACACAGGTCATTTACACAGAAATCTAAAGTTAGGTATTAGGTAGTGTTTGCTGAATCTGACGTGGTACACTCGTACGAGCCCACCATATAACGACAAGAAAGAGAAAGTTAAGATGAGAATACATAATGCAGTTTTAGCTTTAGTTTATTTTTGAGCTACTATTTACATTTATGTCAACAATTGTGTGTTTTATAGATGTCATGTTGTCAATCAGCCATTTTAGTCAGTTCACTGTAACAAGGCATAATATATTTTCATGCGTTTTTCAATCAAAATCTAAAGTTTTTTACAAGCCATAACTCTGGTAACACCTGAGGAAGAATCATTACCATCCCATAATGTTGTAGTGCCACAGAAACGCTGTTCACTACTCCTGTAAATAGGAGGAACCTTAGGGACAACTTGACAATGGGAGATATTTCTAGTTCCCTCAGAGTGTTTGTGAATAGGGCTCCAGGGGCAAAAACCACCAGATCAGGTGTTGTACCAGCTGATCTCTGGTTCTCAGGCTTACAATCAATATAATGTAACTGGATGAAGATGGTTGTTAGAGTCCAGATGAGATAGAAAGTTATCAGATCAAAGATTGTTATAAAATGACTTTGGTTAAGATTGTGACTCCTTTCTCACTGGTATAGTGACATCGACAGGTGGAGGTGGAGGTGTCTTTTATAAAGGTCTTACGTGACACAGAAGCTACTTGGAAATATTTATATGCCTCAGTGTTGTTTTTTACATTATTATGGATGTGAAATGAACTGTAATGGTACTTTAGTCTTGCCAAAGGATGTTTGATTTCTACTTGTCAATATAATGAGGAAATCTGTGATTCAATGCTGAAGTTTTATGATATAGTTTATTTTTGAGCTACTGATGAGATGTGTTCTCTGTTGTCGACAGTCAGACATTTTACTGTGGCTGAATGTTTGTTTGTCCATGTAGGCTTGCTGTAGTTGCACTGAAAAAACCTTGAAACAAAGCTGTTTTTTTTCCTGAAGTTTATTTGTGAGAAATGAAATGGTTAGTTGAAGCTAAAGGGAGAGTTCAATGTTTATGATTTTTTGTTTCATCGATATTTATTTTATGATATATATTCAATGCGATGCCTACAAATGTATAGTCACAATTGTT